TTTATTCAAATTTCTTTCAAATTCAAAAACTTTGTTATAATATTTCAACAATATGTTAAGATGTGTTTATTTATAATTGCAGCCCTCGGGGCGTTGTTTTAATTCGTTATAAAATTTGATGTATTCATTTTATGAAATGAAATTTTTGCACAAATTTAACATTTCGTGATGTTCAATAAGATACAAAACAGTAGAATATAAAACTTTCATTTCATTAGTCCAATAAGATACAGAACAGTAGGATATAAAACTTTCATTTCATTAGTCCAATAAGATACAGAACAGTAGGATATAAAACTCTATTTCATTTCATTAGTCCAATAAGATACAGAACAGTAGAATATAAAACTTTCATTTCATTAGTCCAATAAGATACAGAACAGTAGGATATAAAACTCTATTTCATTTCATTAGTCCAATAAGATACAGAACAGTAGGATATAAAACTCCATTTCATTTCATTTCATTTCATTAGTCCAATAAGATACAGAACAGTAGGATTTAAAACTCCATTTCATTTCATTAGTCCAATAACATACAGAACCTTAGTATTAAGGGATGAAATTGGACAGCCTTTCGGCAGTATTTGTTGTGGCATCAGAATAGTTTCTACCTTGAAGGATTCGAACCCTTGGCACTTTGCCTATAGGCCTAAGCACATATTTTACTTAGTGATAGTTATTAAAAGCCGAAGCCCTGGGAGAACTGGTATGAGAATTGTTCTTGCCTTGAGGAGGATTCTTGAGGTGAGAATAGACGAGGTACGGTGTGGGATTATAGATTCAGTATAGAAAATAGAAGCGAATCGTCTCCGGACCCGTACCGTACCGTGTGTATTATCGATAATACGATAAACCGTACACGGCACCGGAAACCGTATATCGTCTATTCGCGGTACAGATATTAGGTTGGTTGAAAGGTAACAAGTTACTATCCAACAGAAGACACCGACACAGGGTTAAAGCAATGTTCACGAATGTTCAGAGTTAGAATAAGGTTCGAACTCCCTACGGATAACCGTTGAAGTGAAAGATGATGATTTTGTTTACGGTGTGACTAATAACTATGAAGATAAACAATATTCAAAACAGGATTTTACGGTTGATTTACTGAGTCAATGGTCAAATAAGTAGAGCAAGTACACACGCTGTTTAAATGGTCGCACTGGGTATTCATTGAAAATTACCTCATTTTGTCACACACGGGTGGTGGGGTGCTGGCGTACCATGAGATAGCGTAACTAAGTTAAGGGTAACCAAGTTATTTCCCATTTCGCTTGTACAAAAAAAAAAATAACCTTTTCTAATGAAAAAAAAGAAAGAAGTTTTTAGGAAAATTTGATGATTTGCTGTACAAAATAAGAAAGAATTTTAACATTTTTTTGTCATTACTTTGTCATTTTTGTCAAAACTCTCCTGAAACCTATGTCTGTAAAACTCACTTGCATATCAGGGTCCTATCCTGTGGAATAAAATTCCAGTTAGGATACGTTCATGCCCCTCAGTTTTTAAGTTTTAAAACATCTCTTTGTTTTAAAAGACCTATCCTGCTTTAATCTATTTTAATGTATTTAAATGTTTTCTTAAAAATGGGTTCCGTTATTTTTATTTATGAAAATGAAAATGCTAATACTTATATGAATAGAAATTAGAGGTGTCCTAATGACTTAGAAAAAAACCAGTTTGTCTCACATGTTCATAATTGATTTATAATTAGCTAAATTAGAAGAGAATTGTCTGCAGAATTCCAATGAGTGACCGATCAGTTTAACCAGACTGTACATACATGGACATTTTATGATTGGTTAAAACTCTTAATTATATGCAATAAGAACATAATGATATGATTAAGAATATAATATGATAATTAATTAGAAACACCAATTCAAATAGTTTGCTTAATTTGACGCTAAAAAACAAGGAAACCCATCTTTAAATCTATTGTTAATTATACTTTATAATATTCTGATATTTATTTGGTTTAATATTTCATACAATAATAGAATACTTTAAATTTTTTGCTATTTCAATATTGATTTTATATGTTAATATTTATTTTATTCATCTATTGTGCAGCCGCCCCCACCCCCCGCCCCCTTCTCCGCTAATGAAATACTTCGTGACCCCCATTGTAAGAAATGAGGTCAGGATCAATTAATAAGATCGATCTGTATTGGCGATATGATCGGAATAAATGAACCGTAGCATGTTTTTATTAGTCAAAATTATAAATATATGACTATAGTTATATTAGTAATGGTACGTACGAAAGATCCGGGTTTCAAGCTCTGTTTCTTAGAAAAGGAGCGGGGGGTATTTATTATTTATACCTGGTCATCAACTACAAGTACTAGTTTAATATAGTACTTTGTACTTTGAATGTAATCTTCCTTGTTTGGTCGGGTTTTATGTCCTATTGTGTCTTATTCAGCTAATGAAATGAAATAGAGTTTTATATCCTACTGTTCTGTATCTTATTGAACTAATGAAATGAAATGTAGTTGTATATCCTACTGTTCTGTAGCTTATTGGACTAATGAAATGAAATGTAGTTTTATATCCTACTGTTCTCTACCTTATTGTACTAATGGAATGAAATAGAGTTTTATATCCTACTCAATCAATCAATCAAGTTTATTTCCGAGCATTAAGGCATATGCCGTATAGCTCACAAAGCATATAAATATAATATAAATACATATATATACAATTGCAAACAAATATACAAAAATAAAATTGATCAGATATAGGAAGACTAAAATGATAATATATGCTCATTACGTTTTTTAAATGCAAAGAAAACAAATTTAGCTAATGAGTTTAAAATTAAGTTAGAATTTGACGATAAAATAGCTGTAAATTTATTGAGAGAAGGGTAGGTATAAAAATATCTTGGTAAATATCGTGATCTTAGATCATTGTAAAATGGGCAAATTAACCAAAAATGTAGTTATATCTACCTGTTTCATATGGCGGGGGTTTTTGCCGCTTTCCCCCGCCATACTTCCAATATTCAAACAGTGAGAACTAGTTCTAAAACATGACAGGGCTATTACATATTTTCTGCTAATAACAAATTCTAAATAAGTTTGAATTTTGAAATCCAAAGTAAATAAATTATAATAATAAAGCTTACTGGATTCACTCTTTAAACTACTCCAAGACTGTAGGTATTGATCATGCAATCTGATTTTAATGATATTAAATATGTGTTTGGATTTTATACAGTCCTGATAATCCTTAAGTACAGATAAACCAAGCGAGTCCAGCAATCTTTTAACTGATCACACCAACTATCACCTCTACTATAGTCATGAATTCCTAATAAATATATACATTAAATGTAACAGACTATCAATGTTTAATAATATATTGATCCAATATTTAACAATAGGTTCCTGTCTTTTGACTCTAAGTTGTAAGCGTCCCAGCTCACCAAAAATGGCCGGTGTTGGCGTCGAACACTTCACACCCAAGAAACGTTTTCCAAATATTTTTGCACCAATGAAATGAAATGTGGCTTTATCATGTATCATATTGAAATAAAGTTTTATTGTTACACAGTTATGTAGGCTACATGTACCTTATTGGACTAATGAAATGAAATAGGGTTTTATATCCTGTTGTTCTGTACCTTATTGGGCTAATGAAATGGGATAGAGTTTTATATCCTACTGTTCTGTATCTTATTGGACTAATGAAATGGAGTTTGGCGCCTTATTGTTCTGCAGCATACCTCGTCTATTTCAAATTTAGGCCTATAGACGAAATGTGTCTTTCACACGTAAAAGAGTGTAAAATCTTATTAGGCCAAAAAGACAAAAGTTCCTATTAACACATTTCAATAACGTTCTCCCTATTTTGTCATCAAACTTTAAATAGATCTATTAAGATTATAGGCTTGGTCATAAAGAATGAATTTAAGTGCCCGTGCGCTTAAAATGAAACAAATAAAAAATTGTTTTATATCGTGAAATGAAAAATAAATACTTTTGATTTGATTCACTGAAGTGTTCTATATTTTCATAAAAGAAAAGTCTTGTTGACCTGTTTTGGATTATTTAAACCCATGAGTACATGTAATATTTATGTATCCACCTCGACGCCATTGTACTTTATTATAAAGAAGCATTCTTCTATAAAAATCGTGAAATGTATCGAGAATGTGGTTTCGCACTTTAAAGTAGCAATGTCTAAAATAACTGGCCTTTTTTTTTTACTCCAAATTATGATTTGGCTGGGACATTGGTATGTAGCCTTTAATGGAATGATGGTTGGTTGGTAGATGACAAGTTAATGTCGCTTCCAGTGGATGCTGATATCCCAAACTAGGTAGTTGTTGGTAGTCGTAGTAGCTGGTAGTTGGATTGGTTCAAATTGGATGATTCTGTTGTTGGTTTGTTAATTGATACTTCGTTAGATCTGGTCGGGTCGAATGACATGGCGGTGAAACTCGGCCCTGGATAGCGTGGCGTGAGTTTCATAAATTGAAATTAGTTTTGCATTTCATATGGCTGATCTCATTTGGGCCAATGAAAATAGACAAGCCATGCAGTGTACAATGAGGGATTGAGACAAAGCAGACATTAAAATCATCTGTCTGAGCCTGTCGATAGGGTCCTAATTTCATGGACTACAGTGCCACCTGCGCAAAATCTTATATGTGAACCTTTTGTTCTACACTAAATTGGTAAAATTTTAAATTGGTAAAATTTTGATTTCGAAAATTAAATGGCAATGTTCCTTTAAAAAGCTTGAAACCTCCTCTCTGACGTTGTTGTTTTCCCTGAAAAAAAATTCCTTCAAATGAGAGTTATCTTCCCAGCCTCGTTCTCAAAACAAGATGTCAGCCTCCATGAAATAGAAATAAAAATGTAATTTCAGGTTTTTATGACAGATTTGTGGGAATAGAATTGCAAAAAGACTATTTCAGTGTTATGAAACGTGTGTGTGAAAACTCGTAGGCGTGAAGACAGTCCACTTGGCAAGATGACTTCCAAAATGACAGAAATTATCGACAAACTTTTCCTCGGTGGTGTTGAAGCAGCGTTGGACATCGAGAGTTTGGAAAAGTTTGGAATAACTCATATAATAACCATTGACATTCGACCACTTTGTCAAGAAACTACAGACAAATTTACAACGAAATATATCCACGCCATGGATTTAGAAGATACTGATTTGTTGACTTACATTGATGAATGCAATTCATTTATTGATGATGGCCTTGTAAAGGGTGGTGTTTTAGTCCACTGTTTTGTGGGTTCATCACGCAGTGCTACGATAGTCATTGCTTATTTAATGAATAAGTTAAACCTAACTTTTCAAGAAGCTTTGGACAAAGTGAAAACCCTACGGCCTCTTGTCAAACCAAACCAAGGCTTTCTGCATCAGTTGCATCTCTATGAATCTATGGGAAACAAAATTGATGTAAAATCGAATTGCTTCCGACAGTATCGTTTAAATAAGCTATCGCTATCTGTTCAGGCTGGCCAACAGATCTCTGACCACAAACTTTATTCTCAGCTTGACGAATCAAACAGCTTGAACTCGTACAAGTGTAGAAAATGTCGACAAGCGCTGTTTAAGAGTTCAGCACTTCTACCTCACATGGAAGGAAAGGGCAAGGCTGCGTTTGATTGGCGAAGCAGAATCGAAGATGATGAAAATGACATTGATTTTCAAAACAAGGATAAAACTTTGTGTGACCGTTCTCTATTTATCGAACCACTAAAATGGATGTCAAGTTATGTCCATAACATGGAAGGGAAAATTTTGTGTCCAAAATGTTCCGCTAAAATTGGATCCTTTATATGGTATGGAGAGCGCTGTCCTTGTGGAACTTGGGTTGCTCCAGCTTTTCATATCCAATCGTCTAAAGTTGATTTGTGTAAACCTATAAATATTGTTAGAAACAGGTCTCCTCTACAGAAGACTGAAACTTTAAAAACAGATTTGGGAAAAGTTGTTGTAATGGAATAGATTGTGCCAATATGCCTTTTCTTTCACATTGTAAAAAAAAAAGTGCTAATTTTCAATTTATTAAAAGATTGAATTATTTTATTATTGTCTTATTGTTTAGCCTGTTAGCTGGAGTTTAAAGCTATCATGCTTAGATTATGTCAAATATCAATTTATAAAAATAATGGTTAGACCACAGTCAACCATTTATTTGCCATATTTACTTCTAGCAATTGTTGTCTTTAGTAGTGCATATAGCATACGAAAAGCAGACATAGAAGCCTTTTCAATGATTAATTTTATATATAATGAAAGCATGATAGCTTTAAGGAGGTATACAGCTCTTCTGCCTAAATTACATAGAGGATTTGATGAGAAAAGGATGACTAACCAGGATATCTTGGTCTTGTACACTGTAGAGTTTATTCAAAGTCTTTGAAACTCAGACATGAATGGTAAACACAGCTAAATCAACAGTGAAGAGCTTTAGATCATCACAGATGTTTGTGCACACATTAAAAACATTTGGTTTATTTTGTTTTGAGGTAGAATAAATAGTGATTGAATCTATACCATTCAGACCTACATGTGTTTAATTCCTAACTTCTTTTAACTACCATAAAATTTCATAATTAAGGCTCTGCAGCATTTGACCCCATGTGCCTTTGTATTTGACCCTTAGCACCTCCCCATTTAACCCAAGTGTCTCCACATTTAACCCCATTTGACCTGAGGCGTCTCTGTATTTAACCCCAAGCGGCTCATTTAACCCCAAGCGCCTTTGCATTTAACCCGAGGCACCTCCCATAGAACCTCAGGCACCTCCCCATTTAACCCAAAGCGTGTCTGCATTTGATTATAGAAGAAGTAGAGGTCAATTATTCACTCTTGTTTTGTTGCTGTTGAAGAGTTCGAGTTGAACGAAACCGGTTTGGGGCCGTACAAACCAGATCAAGGGTGTCCTATAGGAAAGTTCCTCCTTTGCCTTTACCTCAAAAATTAGTTGAATTGTCGTGTAAACTTACACAATTTGAATAATCCTAAACATGCATGCATATCTACGTCTTCAAGCTATTACAAACTGTTATAAAGGTTCTTAATAGCTTAACATTGTAAAGATAAGACTATACAATATTTGTGTATTTATAATTTTGTGTATATTTTTGTAATTCCAGGAGTCATGTTTGTACATACACCACGTATTATTCTCATAGATACAAATCTAAATGTGGATTTCTGAATTGGGATAGATGTACAAGACATAAGTAAGATTATTTCTGATGTTTTTATCAAATAGCAACATTTCTTCTTAATGCTTGAGCAATCCAATTACAGTTTCATTTGTTATTATTTTTCGTTGTTCTCCATTGTCATCCGAAAAGATTTATACCAATGTCGTGTACTTTTGATGTTCATTTCAACCAATCACAGCACATCATGCAGAATCTCTGTCTAAATGAATGTAATTGTGAGATAGCGAAACCCAAAGTAGAACTATATGACAAATGAGTTATGAAAGTGGCGATACACGCTGGTAAACGTGACTCTGATTGGCAGGATTGTCACCAGTACGTTCATTCATTCATTCATTCATTCATTCATTCATTCATTCATTCATTCATTCATTCATTCATTCATTCATTCATTCATTCATTCATTCATTCATTCATTCATTTTTTCATTCATTCATTTTTTCATTCATTCATTTTTCATTCATTTTTTCATTCATTCATTCATTCATTCATTCATATTCATTCATTCATTCATTTATTCATTCATTTTTTCATTCATTCATTCATTCATTTTTTCATTCATTTTTTCATTCATTCATTTTTTCATTCATTCATTTATTTTTTCATTCATTCATTCATTCATTCATTCATTTATTTATTTATTTATTTATTTATTTATTTATTTATTTATTTATTTATTTATTTATTTATTTATTTATTTATTCATTCATTCATTCATTCATTCATTCATTCATTCATTCATTCATTCATTCATTCATTCATTCATTCATTCATTCATTCATTTATTTATTTATTTATTTATTCATACATTCATTCATTCATTCATATTCATTCATTCATTCATATTCATTCATTCATTCATTCATTCATTCATTCATTCATTCATTCATTCATTCATTCATTCATTCATTTTTTCATTCAATCATTCATATTCATTCATTTTTTCATTCAATCAAATTCTTTTACAGAACGAGAAGTAAAGCAGCATCAAAATGTTGTCCAGGTTGGAGATCTGCTCCAGGCACCAGCACTTTATCCTGTGATAGACGTACGTAATCTTCTACATTTCTGTCGTCATTAGCTCAAACAGTACAAAAAAAAGAAATTATGTCTTTGAAATTGGCCGTAGATGCTGATTAGATGATTATGTCCATGGGTTAAATTTGCCCAGAAAGGTGAATTTTATTTTTGAATTTTTTTCAGCGATATGTAATGGCAAGATTGACCCTGGGGCTTGTAATATAGACTACCCCAGATCTTATGTTTTTCATGCTAACAACGTACGACAAACCAAAAGTGAGGGAACATGTATATCCCCAGGGAAATGTAACTGTCCAAAAGATGGATTCTTCTCAGCAGGCCAGACATGTAATAGTATGTACATTTATTTTAAATTTTTAACTTCGAATCACAAAGAACATGGTCCTTTTCACAATTGCAAAAGAAACAAAGACAAGGGGAAAACCAGCATTTTCTTCATGCATTTAACAAGAGGAGAAAGAGCAATCTATAAGTCGAAGTTCACAAGGCAGGCAGACGTGAAATGAGTCCAATAGCCATTCTGGATCATTCAAGATGACAAATTCAATGAGGTAGACTTCAATTGAGTTCAATGGCCATCCTGGATCATTCAAGATGATAAAGTCAAAAATTAATGATGCTTTAGAACTTTGAGCTCCTATTTTTATTGCTATTATATATTCCAACCTGTTTGTCAGAGATCAAATTTTCCTGACCTGCAATAATTTCCTTGTTTTGTTTTTTAGTTTGTGGTCAGATAAACAACTGTCGTCTGCCGACCTGTACAACTAGCTCAAACACCAAGTGTGCTAAATGTAATTATTACTATGGTAACAAGGCTGGAGAACAAGGCTATGTTTTAACTTCTAATCGACTCTCATGTATAAGTAAGTTTTAGTCATAGTTTTGGCAAAAAAAAAAGACAAATGAGTGAGCAAATGTCAAAATTTGTCCAATATTCCAATGCAACTCATTAGTTGCAGAATAGTAGGATATAAAGCTCCATTTCATTTCATTAGTCCAATAAGATACAGAACAGTAGGATATAAAACTGCATTTCATTTCATTAGTCCAATAAGATACAGAACAGTAGGATATAAAACTCCATTTCATTTCATTAGTCTAATAAGATACAGAACAGTAGGATATAAAGCTCCATTTCATTTCATTAGATCCAATAAGATACAGAACAGTAGGATATAAAGCTCCATTTCATTTCATTAGTCCAATAAGATACAGAACAGTAGGATATAAAACTCCATTTCATTTCATTAGTCCAATAAGATACAGAACAGTAGGATATAAAACTCCATTTCATTTCATTAGTCCAATAAGATACAGAATAGTAGGATATAAAGCTCCATTTCATTTCATTAGTCCAATAAGATACAGAACAGTAGGATATAAAACTCCATTTCATTTCATTAGTCCAATAAGATACAGAACAGTAGGATATAAAACTCCATTTCATTTCATTAGTCCAATAAGATACAGAACAGTAGGATATAAAACTCTATTTCATTTCATTAGATCAATAAGATACAGAACAGTAGGATATAAAACTCCATTTCATTTCATTAGTCCAATAAGATACAGAACAGTAGGATATAAAACTCTATTTCATTTCATTAGTTCAATAAGGTACAGAACAGTAGGATATAAAACTCTATTTCATTTCATTAGTCCAATAAGATACAGAACAGTAGGATATAAAACTCTATTTCATTTCATTAGTTCAATAAGGTACAGAACAGTAGGATATAAAACTCTATTTCATTTCATTAGTTCAATAAGATACAGAACAGTAGGATATAAAACTCTATTTCATTTCATTAGTTCAATAAGATACAGAACAGTAGGATATAAAACTCTATTTCATTTCATTAGTTCAATAAGATACAGAACAGTAGGATTTAAAACTCCATTTCATTTCATTTAATTTCTATGATTATTGTAGAGGCATGCTCCTGGAGATCAGACAGTACCAGATGTTACCCAGGGTCCTGTGCCAATCAATATGCCACCAACTGTGTATGTACTAAGGGATTCTCGGGACACCATTGTGATACAAGTAAGTTTGTTTTATATATTTTTATTTATGTACCCGAGCGGCTGTAACCAAGTGACATCACAGAATGTTAATATGATTCAAGGTATATTACTTGGAGTTACTTGACGTTTTATTTACACTCTGTGTAGGATTAAGAGATTTATCATTTCTTCTGAAGATGTGTTCAAACTTTTATTTAAGTTTGTAAAATGTTGCATGTGGTCATACATTTGAGTTTGTCTTTGTATTCTGAGCCTTATTCTTGAAAACTAAGTTAAAATACAGAGGTTATAATATACAGTAATCTGATTTGATGATAATACTAAATTTAAAATATATTTTAATGATTGATCAATCAGAAGACTAGAACATTGATATCATCTAGGATTAAGGTTCTTGGTTAATATGTATCAACGAATTCATGTTGAAACTGCCCTGATATTATAAAAGTTTAGTATTGCCCAATCAAAAAGTTAGAACACTAATATTATCTTAATTGATGAAGATTTCAAGAAATTGAAAGTAATTTATTTTTATTTTTAGTTACTGTAGACCCAGACATAACAGAGACATATTGGAGATTGGACGCCAGTAACAGCGATTACGCAGAATCAACAGGAACACGACTGATTTACACCAACATTATCTCCCCTTCCTCGATTAAAGTTAAATTATTGAGATTTAACTTAGTGAAATTG